CTCCCCGCCGATAGAGTCCAAGATTAATTGGATTAGAGTCGTCTATTGTTCTCGACGGGGGAAGCGACGACGGGATGAGACGAGTCTTGCAGGTGGAGAGTGGGGTGGGGTGGGGTGGGGGTGGGGGTGAAAAGGGGTGGGTAATGTTTTAATTTGAGATAGTCATGCCGACTGCTGTGCGGGGTAACTCGATAATGGGAGAGGGAGACCTTTCGATTGGATGTATTTCTGCCAAACGGAACTATGTGCATTAGGGCATGAGCCCTGAGACCCGTGAGAATATATGCATAACAGGGCTCACGTCTTGATGCACTTAGTTCCGTTTGGCAGAAATACGTCCGATTGCGACGAGGGTCCGCGCCCGAAAACAGACGGAAGAGGTCTTCAAGTCCCGTTTAAATCGAAAGATGTTGATGTTTGGTTATCCGGTGGATTTATTTATCCATGCTTTAGTGCTGTTCTGCCCTGCTGAGGAAGAACGCCGTGCGAACATTCGAGAATTGCCGAATTCCCTTCGATAAAATGTTTAATTTTGAGGCAAGTTATGGATATTTACCCTTGAAATTTTCATGAACTTTAGGTGAAATTTCGAACATAATTATATGAAAAATTGGAAGAAAAATATTCATATGTTTACCGGGAAATTCGTGTTTTATCAAAATATATTTGGCAACGCTTAAAGGTTTATACGGCGTTCTTTCTGAGCATGGTAGTGTTGGAGTGGGACTCGGGAACAGCACTTACGCGGAAGAGGAAAGTTCGGTTTAGATACAGGCTGATCCGAAAGCCTCGCACCACCCCAGTAACCCTTAAGGTCTATGCTCCTTCTCAGAGCGGTCTAGAGTACCTATATTGGGAGAGTAGGAACAACGGACATGTCGGTAATTTTTGAAAAAATAAAATAAAAATCGAGTGTCAACATAGGCGAGTACAATAGTACACGAGAGACGTATTTGGGCTTCGTTCTGTAAATATTCTGCCGAATCTATGATACCTCATTGGCAACAAGCTGAGCATAGCGAGTTTACGTCTCGCGCCATCGCGCCTTCAATTTTGCAGATACAACACGGACATCCATCAAGTACGAATAGTTGTATCTCTGCGCCGTTGTCAACGCGCGTCCTTTCCGTTGTTCATCAACACACGGTGAGGTTCGTGTACGATTCCTGAGTTACTTTCTCGCGTTTTTAATGAGCGAATCGTGTTCTACGCGTCATGTACCTTCGGATCAATGTACTCGCATGTCAAAATTCGTTCATGGTTTAGTTATCCATTGTCGAACTTTTTTCTTTGTTGTGGAATATACTGATGAAGATATTTGTGTTTTTGTGTTTATTTTGGTTACGGTAGGAAGTGCTATACCAATCAAAACAAATTTTGTGTTGATTTTAGTATAGTTTGCGGTACTAAGAAAATGCACTGTTCCGATTGCGACATTGGTATTCACCACTCGTTTTTTATTAAATTTCTTCAAGAAAATTAGCTGGCATATTATCTTGAATTTGTGAAGCAAAGGCTAGGGTTATTTTGTGTTTTACTTCCTGTATTAACCAAAATTTTGCGTTGAAATTTTTCTC